TATGGTTTGTTGGTGGTCGGTCACTTTGATGTTTCAGCCATTTTTTTTCTTGTATTAGAAGGTTGGTTAAAATTGCATGAAAACTGATATGATGTGTCTCAGCGCTATTCCACAAATACAATTCACATCCACAAATGTTTCCTAGTTTTAAGCAAAAATAATTGTGCCTTACTTAGTTACGAGGTAGATGCAACCGATTTCCATCCTATGTTCAGTCAGTTTGTGAAAACTGGGGAACAGTTGTGGGTGAAAGTTTCCAAACCACTATAAAAAGGACTTTTTTTTTTTTTTTTTTATAACCAGTATAAGGGCCCCTTCACACAGGCGGTTTGTCTTTCCATTCAGCAGGGATCCACTCACAGAACCCCTGCTAATTGGATACAAATGGAGAAACAAAAAAAAGGGCGCACCGACCTAGTGCATTATCGTTTAAAATAATTTATTAAAGAAACAAAAATAGGTATCATACTCACAATGGACACACAGAGCCCTGAGGAAGAGGTTGTGTCCTCGAAACGCGTTAGTCAGTTGGTAATCCAGGGTTCCATCGTATGGACTCAGATGTTGTTTGGATCATACGTCTTGTTCAGTTTGACATGCCTGTGTTATTATGTCCATTGTGAGTATGATACCTATTTTTGTTTCTTTAATAAATTATTTTAAAAGGGCTCTGTTTCTCCATTTGCATCCAGTGTATTTGGACCACCCCAGTCTGTTGAGGGCAGCAAGCAGTGCATATTCCAGAAAATTCCAGAACATTCCTATTGGGTCTACTGAGTCCTTTCCTAGCGCAGGAGTAAAGTGTTTGTTGTGTTGCCCCTGCTAATTGGACCAGAGCGGACATGGACAGTTCCCACTGGGCTCTATGGGTGGCTGGGTGTAAAACAGACGTCGCTGTCTGTTTACACTCGACTGACTCCAATACAGTCTGCTCACACAAAAGAGGATGCAGTTCTCCAATTTTGTTTTACTGGGCCTGATTGGACCCAGAGATAGGCAGGGTGTAAACAAATACAAGTCCATTTATACCCATAGGTCCATAGGAATGCATAGACCATCCAATCAGGTCTGCCTGAAAAACTGACCGGCAGACCTGTTCAGATAACCCATGTGAAAGGACCTCAATGTTTTTCCAGATGCAGCTTTAATTAATAGGGCCAGCATTAATGCTTATGTACAGTAATCTATAGCAACCATTGGTTTATCAATTCTCTCATTGTTCTGCCTGCATTCTGAGTGAGCCTAATATCCCTGCTTCTATCCCCTCAGTGACATCTGACTTAATCAGGGACACAATTTTAACCCAAACATCCCTATTGCTTAAGTGCACATTAAACGGACTACTTGGCTGTTTCAAAAATTAATATTTACCTAATTTTACCTGCTCTGAAACACCTTTTTTGCAGATATGGTACTTAAAAAATATCTACGTATTTACATAACATGGCCAGTGAATATGGGTCAGGTTATATTCAGATTCAGAATACAACCTTTAATATTTACATGTATACAACATGTTGATGGAAGCACCTAAAAGAGCACAATTGTGAAGCATCTCCCTATAAATGAATGTGCATTTCATATGCTGGGTGAGCTCAGATACAACCGAATATAAAACACTTGACACAAACATGGTTTAGAACAGATGCTAACAGCCAACAAAGCCTTCTACTTACACACACAAGAACAATGCACAGGCAGCCGAGCTGTCAATAGTAGATATCTTGGACCTGTAGAAGGGACTTAAAATACGATGCAATTGGCTAAACTAACCAGACAGCTTCCAGCAGCAGAATGCATTCCAGCAATTCCAAATTGGAGGCAGTGGGTTGCCACTATACCGGCTCCTCCAGGTATTCATAAAACCTCAACCCTGGAAGCTGTCCAGAAAAGGGGCAAAAGACTAATCAACAATATTGCCTGAAGGCCCCCCCCGCAGCTGATCTTTTCCCCATTACTGACTTACCACGCATTTGCTCTGCACTGTACCTCTGTGTGGGGACCAGCCACCTAGATAAAAGGCAGCGCTTTGTTTCCACATGTCAGTATTACCCCCCAGATGACCAGCAGGGCCCTAGATCTCACACTGCTGATATACAGCTTTGAGGCCGTAGTCACAGGTTATTCAATAAAGCAGTACTGTGATGATGTGCAGTAACCCAGTATATCCAGATCCAAATCCGTAAAAGGATCTTGTAATAAAGTGTATGCTAGTTTGAGACCATAATATGTGTAACTCACCCAGAAACAATGATATAGCATGACAGAAACAAATCTGACAATCTCAGGGCATCCATTTCACAGAAAGACATGAATTCTTCTCTACCTCTACGTCACTCTGCACAACCCAGTCATGTTCAATACTGTCTTCATCAATAAAAGCACCCTAATGTACAGGTCAATGTCCCCCAACTCCCACTACAGTCCCCACACTCATCCCCCTAAGACCTTGTATTTACAGATGTTTACATTAAACATTTGCCAGGCAGTTTCTTCATTTCCAGGCATTCAGACATCTTAATCTGTAAATCAATACCATCTACACCACTTCTTTACAAGGTCAAGTGACTGTGGGTAGTGGGATGATCTGATATATTATGTTCTTATGCGAGGGTCAGGATTACCTGCACAGGTGTTCTGTGCATCCCTGTACAGGCAGTCCTATTCACATCAATTGGGACACAGTGGCCGTTTGCATTCGGATCCATGCACTCACATGGATGTCAGACAGTGCATGTTTGGGGTTACGCACCCATACATTGTCAAACTGGGAGCAGCTTAACAGAAAAAAAAACTGCATACATGAAAAGGAGCACTAGACCAAATGAGGAGTCCAAATTTATTGGTATTGTGCCAAAGTCATTTGACCCCCGAAATGCGTTGGTTGTCTTTTAGCACAATAAATGAATTTGGACTTATCTTTTGGTCTGGCGCTCCTTCCATGCATGCAAGTTTTTATTTTTTTTCTGGCAACCTGCTGGTGTACCCACTGGAGGATAGCCTTGTCTGTTGTGAGAAGCCTAGCCTGAGCCAGTGGGCTCTTCAAATGTTTTTGCCCTCTCACTGCTCTGGATCAAGTGCCCTCTGGATCAAAATGTCCCAGCGCCTCTTGATACATTTTTTTCACTGAAATCGGAAGCAGCATCTCTGTCCCAAATGACATGAATGGGACAGCCTGCACAGGGATACGTGGAACACCTGTACATTCCCATGAAGGTAAAGATGGCCCTCGCAGCGATGAATGTCATAGTATGCCTACATGAACAAGATCTAGGACTCACTGAGAATGCACAGAAAAAAAAAAAAAAAAAGATTCACCAAATAGTTCAGTGAAATGTCCACAAAAACTGACACCATCTCTAATTGGGGCATTTGTTGGCTGTTACAAGTGTACCTGGCGACTAGCATGTGTTGAAAGGCTGAGATGTAAACAGCCCATCTAGGCACTACTCAGGCGCATCCATTAGACAGGAAATCAACACGGACATGGAAATTGGTGCACGGCCTGCGGCTTGCACTTCCATGACTTCCTAGCTTGAAACGCTAGTGATGTGGGTAATTTGCTATCAACATATCTGAGAATCAGAGAACAGAGACCTTCATTAGACACAAACATCTCTCGGATACCGGAATGCTCTGGGATGGGGGGGGGGGGGGGGGGGGTTGGGAAAAATCACCCTGTGCCAGTTTTACAACACCAAGACTTCCATTCCCTGATGCATTAGGAGCTTGTACACCTCAAGCTGTTACTTAAACAAAAACATCCAATCTGCTGAATTAGTGACGAGATCTAGTGAATCTAAATCAATATGTTGGAATATATGTCAATCATTGAACCCATACATACAGACCTTAACTCATGCTAATGGAGTATTAGTTGGTCTTCCAAAACAGCCATTACAAATACCGCTTACCACACACAAATGTAGAGCAAAGCCTTGTGACAGCACACAGACATGTCATAGTATGGTTAATGCGCAAAGCCATGTTCAACCAGTGTAACTAGCATGCACTTATTTTTACTATATTTTACAAATGGAGTGTGGTTAGTCACACGCACGCACGCACGCGCGAGAATGCCAAAGTAGAATATTTGCAAGCCATTGGCTGAACACAATAAAATGGTTCTAACAGAGGTGGGCAAACTCTTGGAAACTCTTGTAAGCTGGCTACTCCAAATTAGAAAGCCAATATATAGGTCAGGTAACCAGTGCCTTCATTGAGAACAAGAAAAATAGGCACCAGCTGTATATTTGATTTTATGGGCCCCTTGGCGACCCGGCTCCTAGAATTCGTCCAGTTGTTTTAGAAATATGCATACAGATGAAAACCTTTCAGTTAATCTCAGTCTGGTGTTCAAATTATCAAAAACCAAAATGGACATAAGCAAGCTGCAATTTTTCTTTCAGTCCATATGAAATACAGGAGGGGAAAAATTCTTTACAGTTCTACTACTCATGTGCACTCAGCACCTTTGTTACTAACACACGTATAAATAATTGGCAAAAGTATCCCTAATACTGCAGTGTTTTATCACTTTGCTGCGTAATGTCCAAAAAAAACAAAAAAAAAACAAGAAAAAAATACATAACATATCAATATCAAGTCAGCAGCTCACAGTGGGGGTTGCGTCATGATTTCAGGAATCCGTTGAGTCAGGTACATTTTAATATGATTACATAGCTTATTTTTGGGAAGTTTGAACGCCATGCACTCCTGATACATAACAAAAAAAAAATGTTTTTAAAAATTGTGAATTATTCTAAGGCAGTAATCATGGGAGAACAAATGAGTCAAGCTAGCTGAGAACAAGCAAAACAAATACAAAATAAGCCTCATTTTTTATGGCTTCAATCTCCTAGAGGGGGGAAAAAAAAAAAAAAAAAAAAAAAAAAATTTTCTATGCTGGCTGAAAAATATTGCCACGCTTTGAGTTGATGGATAGAGGGAAAAGAAAGTACAACTGATTAAAGCAAAAACTTTGCAGGCAGACAAACTCACTATTTTCTATGCTTCTGGGACTGGGCTTTTGCAGTTTTTAAAAGAGAATCTAGACATGTGCGGATTCCGGCTAAATGGAGGAGTGATCCTGCGGCCTCTTTAAGCTCGTCGTCAATATCTTGGCAGGCTTCTTTTCGCAGTTTTTTGCCATGCTGTTCTTTGCTAGAATTTAAACAGGGCTGGGCGGCGTAGCCGCTGTCGCCAAGTGCATCTTCCTCGTAGTCCATATCGGTGTCATCCTCGCTGTGAAACCCTTCGCTGCCATCGCTTCCTGCCCGGCTGTTCTTTGGGATGAACTCGTACACCTCGTCAACAGAGGACAGGGAAGACACGCTGGAGCGCGATTCACATCGTTGAGAGTCTGTGCCGCTGGCACTGTAATTGTGATCCTCTTTGGGATCGATGTTGATGACTGCAGAATCGTTCTCTTGGAGAGACAGAGAAGCACAGTGTTTGAACGCGCTGCTGTAATTGCGTTTCTTAGGCAGCACCGCCTTATGAGGCTGAGGCTTCTGGCCTACATAAAAGCACAAGACATGGGCTATTAGAACAGTTTAAAGAAAAAGTTATTCCACATCTCTTTACAGGCACCAATATAGATGTCACTCCTATTATTCACCTGGAAATCTGCAATGCTATGTAATCTAGAACACAGGAAGTGCACCTCACACCAGGTTATTTTTCTGCTCCCACTTCATATTTACCATACACAGCCGAGCAAAGCAATATTTCAGGTGCAGTGACCTGAAATCATTAAATCAGCAGCCACCTTTTACAGTTACAGGTCAGATTGGATTGTATCATACCTATTGCATTGTATTACTGAACCCAAAATGTTATCTCTAAATACAGTGGAAAGGAGTTAGACAGCATTAAAATGTTCTAAGTCCTCATCGGGGAGATTTATCCCTCACTTCCTGTGTAGTCAATGTAGAAGAACTGAACAGAATCCCTATGGGTGTTTCTAGTTGAACTCAAGCCCAAAAAGCAACAGCTATCCATGAAGGGAAATCTCCCCAATGGGACCAGGAAAAAAAAACAAAAAGGCCTTAAGCCAGTAATATGCAACCTAAGCACCTGAGCTGTGCTGAAACTGCAAATCCCATCACCCTCAGCAAGTCATAGCTGTGGCCTTCAGTCTTTCAATGCTGCATGGTACGTGTAGCTCCACCACAACTGGAGTGCTGAGGTTGCCTAACCCTTTTTTTAACCATTCCCCACTTTATCCAGAAAAACAGGAAAAAAAACCCCCAAAAAAAAAAAACAAAAAAGAAACCCACCAAAATTTTCTAGATCAAGGGTAGGCAACCTGTGGCTCTCTAGCTGTTGTGGAACTGCATTTCCCATGAGGCATAGCAACATTCTAAACTGACAGTTACAGCTATGACTTGCAGAGGCATGATGGAACTTGTAGTCCTGCAACAGCTGGAGAGCCGCAGGTTGCCTCCCCTGTTCTAGATGGTCAGTACATGTATCACCACTTCAAAGTGTCTCTTACAAGCGACTTAGTCATGCGGTGCAACCTGGTACCAAAGCCCAGGAGCCCGCTCCTGCTCCATGCATGCTCCACTCAAGCAAAGAAAAGAAAAGAAAAGTAAAAAAAAAAAAAAGAAAAAAGAAGGGACCACACACCAATGACATTAAAAAGAATAGTGAGCTTCAATGGACATGTAAGAACATGCAGCACACACTGCAGAGGCCACACTGCTAATGTGTTTCACCCATTCCAGGGCTTAAAGTGGAAGTCAAGTCTCATACTAAGGCTGCACCTACTCTCATCCCAGCTCTAAACTTATTCCATCTAACCCTTAAAGAAAAGATCCATATACATCTATATACTTACCCATTCTGAAGCCGCTCCGGTCTCCAGTGGCGACTTCTGTGAGGGAGAGAAAGCAGACAACGGTGCAAATGCCATAGACTTACCTCCTATACATAGATGCCGCCACTGACAGCTGACTCTGACATCGAAGTGGCTTCAGAATAGGCAAGTATTAGGATTTTTTTATTTACAGGGTTAGATGGAAAAGGTTTAGAATGGGGGGGGGGGGGGGTTAGCCTTAGTATGATACTGAAATTCCAGTTTAATCGCAGAGATTATGTTTCTGCATGCTCATTAACCACTTCAAGTCTGGACACTTTCACCCCCTTCCTGTTCAGGCCAATTTTCAGCTTTCAGTGCTATCACACTTTGAATGACAATTACGCTGTCATGCAACACTGTACCCATATGAATTTAGCTGGGTTTTTTTTTTTTGTGGTGGTAGTTATTCACCAGTGGGATTTTTTTTTTTTTTTTTTATATAAAAATGTAAGTCCAAAAGTGTTGAAAATTTTGCAAATAATCTTTTCTTCATAAATCTTGGCTAAAATTTATTCAGTTATCTTTTTAGTAAAAAAAAAAAAAAAAAAAAAAAAAAAAAAACAAAAACAAAAAACAAACTCAATTAGTTTATAACCAAAAATTATTTTTCAAAAATTTTATAATATTATGTTTTTTTTTTTTTTAACATACCGTCACCCTAGCAGTACAGTGTCACCTTGTTGGGGGTGATGGAGATTTTTTTTTTTTTTTTTTTTTTTTTACACGGATTGCTTTTACACCCATAAAAGGCTATAAAAGCAATAATTTCTCCTTCTCTCTGACTGCATTCTTGCAGTAATTGAGAATTACTGTGAGAGCTGTGATTGGTCACAGCTTGTCACATGGTATGAGGCTGCTGTGATTAGCCCTGTACCATGTGACCTCTGATCATACACAGATTTCAGGAAGTGACATCTTGCTTACTACTATTCATATGATCACCGATTGGCAAAATCAGTGATCACATGAATCGGAACCTCACACAGAAATCCCGTTCAGCGATCGGAGGACACAGCGGGCACTGGGTCACGGTGCTGCACGCTCCCAGGGAGTGCGCACAGGCTGTGAATGCGGGCACCGTTTATAAACGGCAACCCGCTCCTGCACTGCTCCTGTCCAGCCGTTTATGTACATGGGCCAGACAGGAAGTGGTTAAGGCTTCGTGCACACTAGCTTTTTTTAACCCCTTCATGCCGGCGCCTCCCGGCCCTTTAAGGGTTTCAGAAGCCGGGAGGCGGAGCGGGGTTTGGGTCATGCGACTGCCGTGACACGCCGTCACATGATCGTGAAAGGTCCCGATCAAAAGAGGAGATCGGGACCTTTCCGTGAATACCGGACGTGTGCTGGGAGCGCGCAGGGCACACGCTCTCAGCACATATGTTCTTTTTTAGTAGAACGTAGATGTGCAGCCGCTCGGCGCCTAGGCCCAGATGCTGGGAGGCCGCACATTTGCGTTCATCCGGCAGCGTGAAGAGGTTAAGCTCCAAAAGCTGTTATTAGCATTCTTTTTCTGCTCCTAGAAGCTAAATAGTGTTCTCCTATGTGCCCAAGCACACTACTTAAGGGTATTTGCATTTTTTTTAAGCTCCAGTGTCCAAGAGCAGAAAAAAAAAACCTCACTAAACATTCCTAAAACGCTAACAGCCCCCCCCCCCCCCAACATGTACCGTAAAACCGCTAAATCGCTACTAAAAAGATGCTATTACCAGCGTTTTTTGAGCTAAAAAAAAAAAAAAAAAATGCTAGTGTGCATAGAGCCTAAAGCTCATTGGACTTGCAATGTGCGCCACAGTTTTTCTGGCTTGAAAACACTTTCCACTGCCCACTTTAATCTGTATGCTAACAGACCCCCTCCTGAAAATGCTAGCTAGCTGCCTACCATGCAGATTGGGCAACAATTTGAGAAACTCAGACCTGAACATGCATGAAATTAAAGAGTCCGGACATCACGGTCTGCTTTTTTAAAAGGTTAGCGACAAAGAAAGCACTGAGGCCAGAGACCGCCACACACACGGAATTAGTTACTGTTGTTGGGGCCTTTTTGACTTCGCTGTTGTGCAGAGCAGCATAATTCTGTCTGCAGGTTTCTAACATAATACAGAAGAATCAAGAGAACAACCTGGTTGCTATGTGTATGAAAGGCTATCCTTTCTTTAGATTTATCAATGCCCACTATTCAAATACTGATGTATAGCCTTGTGTATTCAGGAACTGTTCAGGGTGTAAAACAGAGAAAAAAAAAAAACAAAAACACACCAGTAGGTGACTAGACTTACCATCTACTCCCTCTATCTTGACATCCTCTCCAACAGTACAGCAAACACCTTTATAAAAAATAAAGAAACATTGATATCTACATGATGATGTTTATTTTAAGTCAGTCTGATTAGTGAACATGGGATTTATAGTATTCTACATTTATTTGATATACATTTTAAAAGCGAAAACAAGTGTATACACAGAGAACTGTATTAAAGATGCTTCACTCAAACTATATCCGACAGAGCAATCCTTAGGATCAACAAGTCTTTTCAATACTATAAAACAAAGTGGTTATAAACCCTGACATATACACAGTGAAGTGACTGGCCTCAGGTGATACAGAGACGAAACAGATCCTCCTATACAAGTTGTGTATCTGCAGTCTTCTCTCTTTTCTACATCCAAAGTGCTGAATTTACAAAGCTTGTCTGAGAACTCACAAAAAAGGGGGCAGAGTTTGAAATCGCACACTACAGAGCTCAGTGTGAAGAGCTCCGACAGCTGATTGGAGGGAAGAGACACATGCCCCTTCACACAGCGCACAAGAGCAGAGCTGAGGCTGTCAATTGGTGGGAAGCCCCTCCTCTCAACATTTTTCTCTTGGTGTCAGAAAAGATGGTCAGAATTGATTCATGCTGATAGCAGAAGAACGAAGCAGAAGACAGAAAAAACACGGTTTTTAATTGAGACAAAAACAGACTAGAGAGGGATATACTTTTTTTATATTTCATTTCTGAGGTTTATAACCACTTTATGTGGTGGTTCACATATATGCGAATTGGATGCGGTTTGAAATGCATCCAATCTGCATGACATGTGAAATAACATTGCTTGCTATGGTGCCTGTTCACATATGTCCAATGCACTGGTAGTGCAGATTCAGTGTGGATTGAACAAGAGCCCTGTCTTATTTCTGAGCAGTGTGGTCCGGTTCAGGTGCGGATTACAGACCATTGACATCTATGGGAACGGTTTCTAAACCGCACGTGTGGACGGGATAAAATCCTGACCTGAACCTGATGTAAACCTGACATGAACCGCCGAGTGCCGGTTCACATATATGCGGGTTGAACCACATCCAATCTGCAAGGCATGGGAAATAACATTGCTTCCTATGGCGCCTGTTCACATATGTCTGATGCACTGGCAGCACGGATTCAGTGCGGATTGAAAAAAAGAGTCATGTCTGATTTCTGAGCAGTGCCTTCAGGTTCAGGTGCAGATT